ATTATGATTATGGGAGGCTACCTGTAGCATTGAACCCCACAATTTACATCTTTGTCTTAATATAACAAATGAAGCATCATCTATTTATTTATCTATCTATCTCTAACACATAGCGAGAGAGAGACAGAGAGAGAAAGAAAGAGACTTTTAATACAAAGACAATGCCCTCTCTTTCTCTCTCAGTCTATTTATATAAACTTCATTCTCCATGGAATACAAAAGTTAATATTAATTTTAGTATATCCTATTTCAGTTGCATTAAAACTGGACAGTAATTAATAATGCTATTGCTACTTCATCTGTTCCAAATTCTTTTCTACTCACCAATAGGTTTAAAAAAAGTTGCAGCCAGATACGTCTACGAAAGATGTTGCCTTTATCCATCACTTCAGCTGGAAGTACCATTTTCAGCACTCAGCAATGTAGCTTTCAAGTCTATTGAACTAGAGATCTGTCAAGCCCAGTGATGTTTCACTGGGAAGTGAGAGTGAAATGAAAAAGTAAACCAGACTAATAAATGAACAGCAGGAAGCAACAGGTTTATTATGCAGAAAGTGAATGGGGCTGCTTTCTTTCTAATTCAAGCTTTGAGTATCTAAGGTTAAGTACTAGTCATTAACTCAGTTCTGCTAAATTTGAAGAGGGCTTGTCCTAAAAGAAACTTGTGGAACGTGCTCAGTTTCATTTCAGAGTTCTCATCCTATTCTAAAATCCTGGAGGGTGGAAAAAGTAGGATAAATTGGGATCAGAATTTGCCCTTCCCTCCTCAGCTGCTAGAAGGAAATTGTTCTTCATTTCATAGAATTCCACCAATCTAGTTATGAGGAAGAGTGCTGGAATGACCCTCCAGCTGAAACAGTTTTGCTTACCAATGAAGTCCTCAGTCCCCCTCCATGATTAATGCCATTTGCTTCTTCTCTACCTATTAGTTGAATAGAACATAACTCTACCCTATAGAATAGATTCAACATTATCTTCTTTTTGCCTAAGGTTTTTGAGTGTTCCTTATTAAATACTTGTCAGTTATTTTAAACATCTGCCTTAAAATATTTCTTTGTAAACATAAGCATAAACATAAAAATCTTGTTTCAGATTCCCCCCCCCCCAGAATTCTCCTATGGCTCACCACTAATTTCAGTTAGCTAGGATGCTGCAAACAATATGAGGACAAATTAAGGGAGGGAGTGCTTTGTGCTCCAATGCAGATTTCTTAACCGAGTATTCTCAATTTGTATTTGGCTTCTATATCCAGACCATTTTAGTTTGCAGGTAATTAATCATTCCATCAAATTTCCAGAACTTTATATATATTGCTCCTGTTCCCATTGTTTTTTCACTTGCTCTTCATTGTGTTCCTTTGTTTAAGTAAGGAAATATCTCTGAAACAATGATCCAATAGAACATGGGATGACTAGTTAATTATTATTGCCATCATTTACTAACTTCATCTCATTCTCAGCTTTTACCTAACACCTAACTCTACAGTTTCAAAATACCTATATTGTTTCTCTGTGATGTGGCCATCTTTCCATTTTTATATACTGTATGCCCTGTTGTTGTTTTTTTCCCTTTCACAGCATTGTTAAGTTTATGTACATTGCCGTCAATGTGTAAAATTAGGCATTTTATAGAATGCCTAGTAAATCTGTAGAATGTCAAAAATGGGACATCAAAGTATGAAACCCTTAATATTTCAGACATTTTCTAGGCATTCTATGCAATGCCAAAAGGCAAACCAGTGAAGTATTGTTGCAACAAATAGGTCAATACAATTCATTTTTGTCTTGTTTTTTTCAGTAAGAAAGTCCCGTACTTTATTTTGCATTTCTTTTTTCATTTTCATATGTCTTTTCAATAAAGGGTTAGAATTAACCCTAACCCTAATCCTTTTCATGACTCTATTTTCATACTTTGTGTCAACTCTGAAGCGAATCTGACTGAGGCCATCTTGTGTTGCCTCACTTTCCGCCTGAACTACTGTAACACTCTCTACATGGGGCTCCCCTTGAAGAGCACCCGGAGGCTCCAACTGGTCCAGAATGCGGCTGCGCGGGTGATTATGGGAGTGTCATGGTGCTCCCATGTAACACCTCTCCTGCGTGAGCTGCACTTGCTCCCGGTGGTCTCCAGCTGCAATTCAAGGTGTTGGTGACCACCTTTAGAGTGCTCCATGGCTTAGGACCTGGATACTTACGAGACCGCCTTCTGCCACCGAGAGCCTCCCACCGGCCAGTACACTCCCACAGAGAGGGCCTCCTCTGGGTGCCGTCAGCCAAACAATGTCGACTTGCGGCCCCCAGGGGGAGAGCTTTCTCTGTAGGAGCACCTGCCCTCTGGAACGAGCTCCCCCCAGAGATACAGATGATTCCGGATCTACGTATTTTCCGTCGGGCCCTCAAAACTTTTTTATTTCATCAAGCCGGGCCGGCCTAACTCTCCAATGGTGTAATTTTAATTTGAATTTTAAATGGGGGATTTTAATTGTCGGGCCAAATTGCTTAATGTATTTTTAAATTGTTTTTAAATTTTGTATTCTATGTTTTTTATCTATGGCTGTTCACCGCCCTGAGTCCTTCGGGAGAAGGGCGGTATATACATTTAAATATTAAATTAAATTAAGTTATTAAATAGTTGCTATAAACTCTGAGAGTGGGGGAAGGGAGGTGAGAAAATAGATATGCTTGCTAATAGTCAAAACAAAAAGTTTTCTTGTGGGAACCAAGATAATCTCAACACGTGGGTGTTGAGGGAGGAAAAGAGTAACCAAGCACCCTGCCAGTTACTCCCATTGGACAATGTGACCAGTGACATCTGGGGAGGGAAATATTTGCTCTTTTAACTAGAGAAAAACCACAGGAACTTTTAGAGTTGTCTTTCACTAGCTGTGCCGATATGTATCCAATAAACATGTTCTTTGAGGAATTTACCTGCCTCAGAGTTCTGATTTTAGTAGATGCATTAGTCGGAACACTGAAACTTTGTCTAAATAGTTCTTGTTATTCTGCTTAATGGCTAGGTATTACAGTATGTAGAATGCCTAGGAAATGTATATAGTATATTAAAATAACAGATGTTTCATACTTTGCCTACAAATATCTCACATTCTATAGATTTCCTAGGCATTCTATACTATGCCAGCTTTTCATACACTGCCAGTAACATAACATATGTATGCCTTTCAAAGCAGGAATCAATGTTTTTATTGCTGCTCTCTTTCCATTGCTTCTGTTTCTTTTGAATGAATTCAAAACAATCTTCCAATTGTTCTATTTCAGTCAGATCTGTACAAGAGCTCAAAGGCTATGAACTTTATGAGTCAGTGTTCTTTCTGATTTTTCTTGGAATGGTTTAAGAAACCTTGTTTCAGAAACACCCTTCTTTCTGCAATATGCCTGCTTTTATCTCTGTTCCTTGCTTCTGGGGTTTTATCAAATATTTTTTACCAGTCCTTGTGAAGTTCATGCAATCCCTAATGCAGAGGAGATAGACGATGATCTAAGAAGTCCAAATTGTCCTGCCAACATCATTTGTATAGACATTGATTCTATGTATTAGAGGAGAGAGGCCCCTTCCCACGCCTCTTCCATGAGCTGGAAAGACACTGAAACAGTAAAAGATATGATCTGAAGAGAAATCAACATTGCACAACTCCATTGTAGTGTCCACTCAGGTACCTGGGTACACCACATCCAAGCCTTTTACTGTGATCTTCGTGCTAAAACTTATGTGATGGATGTACCATTATCTTCACTACCATAGTGGCCCCCAGTCACATGCAAAGAAGTAACCAGTTCAATTGGTTAAGAGCTGTGGTGGCACAGTGGTTAGAATGCAGTAATGCAGACTAGTTCTACTGGCTGCCTGCTGCCAGGAGTTTGGCAGTTCGAGTCTCACTGACTCAAGGTTGACTCAACCTTCCATCCTTTCGAGGTCAATAAAATGAGGACCCAGATTGTTGGGGGCAATATGCTGACTCTGTATTCTCATATAGATACCACACATCAAGATTCGAGAGGATTGGGGGAGGGGGGAAGGGGGGGAATCTATAATTGTTTCTTTATATAAAAAGGGTGACAGGCAAGATCATAGGCCAAGGGTGACAGGCTAATCATAGGCCAATTAATCTATTGAACATCATTAGTAAACTATATGCCAGTACAGGTAGTTCTTGACTTACAAAAGTTCATTTAGTGACCATTCAAAGACACAACAAAACTGAAAAAAGTGACTTATGACCATTTTTTACACTTACAACCATTGCAGTATCCTCATAGTCACATGATCAAAATTCAGCCACTTGGCAACTGACTCATATTTATGACGGTTGCAGTGTCCTGGGGTCATGTGATCACCTTATGTGGCCTTATTACAAGCAAAGTCAATAGTGAAGCTAGATTCACTTAACAACCATGTTACCAACTGAACAGTTACAGTGATTCACTTAACAACTGTAATACAAAAGGTTGTAAAATGACGCAAAATTCACTTAATATTTCACTTAGTAACAAAAAAATTGGGCTGAATTGTGGTCTCAAGTTGAGGTCTACCTGTACTCATTTACCAAACTTCAAACCTAGGGAATAGAGGAGAGAATAATTGACTCAGGGCAATTCCAACCAAGCAGTCTACTATAGACCATTGCCTAGTGCTTCAACATTTGGCATATAAATATATAAACCACTCTGATTTGAATTTATATGCAGTCTTTATTGATTTCAAGGCATATTTTGATAATATCTTAAGGGTAAAACTTGGGGACATTCTGAGCTGATCCTCTACAGATAAAAGACTTATGCTCCTATTTCATAAACTATATGATGAAACTGGCCTTAGATTAAGAGGTAACCAGGGAGGGGATCACTTCAACTTTATTCAAATGAAACAAGAATGCATCCAAGCACCATTGCTTTTTAACATATATCTTAACTCTTTGATTTAAACTCTCCAGAGTGTTGGTATCCGTGCTCCTAATTTAATTGACAGATATCTCCCAATCTTACTCTATTTAGATGATGCAGTCCTTCTCTTCTTGTCTTCTTTAGGCATAAAGCAGGCACTGAGAAACCTAGCATTCTATTGTAATGAGAAACAATTAATAATATATTATGACAAACCTAAATTTGTATTTTTTTCTAATAAGACAAAAGCACAAGTGGATGATTGATTCCAAAGAACTGGAAAAGATTAAACTTTTTTTTTAAATGGTCATAATATTTCAGGCCTTCAGGAAATTAACAGTCCAGATAAATTATGCCACTTCTATGGCCCAAAAGAACACACAAGCAATAATTAAATTTCATAGGCAACAGGGGACAAATTACAGCAGCAGTTAAATCATTAATGAGTATAACAGTTGCCCAATTATTATATGGGATACAAGTTGGCCATACACAGATCTGTAGTTTATGAAACCATTTAATCAACTTCTCATACAACTTTGGTAACCCAAATTGCACCTCCAATGTAGTCTTGAAATTTGAAGCTACTGTGCTGAGTATAAAGGTTCAGGCCTGGATTAGGATTGTAATGTGAGGATTTAAAATCATGTTTGACCCTGAAGGCCTGATGCCTTTGCTACTGTCAAACAATTATCAGTCTCATTAACACTGCATCTGTACAGCAGAAATTGCAGTCTTGGCCTCTCTCCTGAATAATTAGGTCAATTAACCCTAGAGAAGGCAAAATTAACCTGGAGAAGATAAAAGAGAAAATCAGGGAAATTGATTGCCAAAATGATATCTCCAGTGCCCCTGAATTCTACTGCCAAATGCTAGAAAGTTGCAAGCCCTCTACTGTGGGGTATCTATACAATTTAACCCTAAACAAATATAGATGGGCCTCTTACAGAGCCCAATTTGATGTGCTTCCGTCAGCTCTGCTGGCAGGAAGATTTCATGAGATTCTTTATTGACAGAGATTTTTCCCTTGTGGATCCAGGGAGGGAAATTCTCGGTTATCCTCTCATATGCTAGTCTTTCTATGATGTCCCCAAACACGCTAGCAAACCTTAGCATTCTGAAAGGCTCAGAACACTGGCATTTGCTAACACTGGCATTTGCTTAGCATTAGAGAATACTAATGTTTCTACCCCTCTGGAGGAGAAAAAACTAGCAAACGCTAGCATTCTGAACCTTCTAGTATGATAGCATTCACTTACTTTGTACCAAATTTGAGATCCATTCCTCCAATGCTCCAAGGGATTTCCCGGAAATCACATGGTGCATTGGAAGAATAGACCTCAGTTTTGGCAAAAATGCTAGCTAATACCATCATTCTCACCATCACTCTTCCCAGTGGAGCAGAGAGAAACCACAGGCCTTCCTCTATGCTTGGGAGACCCAGACCCTTTTCACCGCACTCCATATAACAATGTGCATGGTTGAGTAACAACCATAACTGGAAGAGTTAGCATTGTAGCCATTGACTGAAGCAGTCACCTGGCATTTCACTTAACAATTGCTTTGCTCAGTGACCAAAATTCCTGGCCCAATTGTGGTGGTAAATGGAGGACCAACTATAGAACAACGGTAATAACACTTAGACTTATATACCGCTTAATAGTGCTTAAAACAGCTCTCTCTAAGTAGTTTGCAGAGTCAGTATATTGCCCCCAATCTGGGTCCTCATTTTACCTACCTCAAAAGGATGGAAGGCTGAGTCAACCTTGAGCCGGTGAGATTTGAACTGCCGAATTGCAGCTAGCATTCAGCTGAAGTAGCCTGCAGTACTGCACTCTAACCACTACACAATCTCAGCTCAAGCATTTCTATAGAATAGTTGTCCATTCTAATTATATGTCCCACTCATCACATCTGAGCTCTGATCATCAGGAACCTAATGTTGGTGGATTTCACATGACCCAAGACCAGTGGCGGCGGCGGTGGGAGGCTCCTCCCACCCACCTGGACATCATCATGGACACTCTGTGCATGCGCAGAAGTGCACACGAAGAAAGCAAGTGTGCGTACATGCATGCTCCAGATTCCAAACCAATAGCGAAGGTTAGTGGAACCCATTACTGCCCAAGACCATCCCAGGTTGAAGACATTTGTCTTGCCAACAGATGTAACAAATCTCAAGGGTGAAATAGAGGGGGTTCATCTGAAATGTCTCCAATCACTAATATAGAGTCCAGGACTCACATCCATATAGGACAGAAGAGATAACTACAGCTCTGTAAGCTTTCAATTTTGTGGCGATGCAAATGTTGGGTTGATTGAGCACTCTAACATGCAGCCACCCCAGAGCCTGGCTAGCTTTGCTGACCCCTGAGTTAATTTCTTTTTCCAGGCATCCATGTCTTGAGATTAGGCTTTCCAGGTATTTGAAGCTATTTACATTTGTCAGCAGGGTGTTATCAAAAATGAGTTTTGGTTGTATAGGCTTGGTGTTTGACATAGTTTGGTAAAGGTATTTCATGTAGTTTAGGCTGAAATGTTGAAGACCATAGCAGCATCTGAGACTCTGTTCAGCATCAGTTGATGCCAGAAGTGCAAAATCATCAGCAAAAAGTGTTTCTTGAAGACTGTGTAGAGGCACTTCATCCAGTTGTTCAAGCAACAAAAGTCAAAGAGAGAGACATCCAATCAATACCTGATGTGTGTACTCTCTCCTTCAGTCCTCAGACATATCACCACTGTAAAGGGCCTGTCCTATCATTCCATCATGGAGCAGCTGATTCAATTTCACAAATTTCCTCAGGTATCGATAACATCCTAGAATTCACACATATATACAGAATATTTGGATAATATATAATTTACAGAGAAGGAAATTATTATACACAGTGAGTTAATGTTAATATACCTTCTGAGTCTCCTGGCTCTGATAGTTATTTTGATATACATGCAACTTTCCCTTATTGCAAATACTTTGTCTTCACATATATTTTGCTTTATTGATCTGACATTGTTGATTTTTATAATTGCCAATTAAATAGCAAAATGATTTATGAATATGACTTAATCATAATGTAATTGTTTTTTTCATTTTATTTAATTATTCCTTTGTATAAATTGGCATGCCATCTGCCATATGTGAGTCTGAGCAGTTTACAAGACCCACCTTTTATGGTTAATTCAGACTCAGCCTTTATAGTTTAAAGTTTTATGCAAACCAAGCCATTTAGTCTTGTTAAATAAAATGTACACTAATTTTATACAGAGTATTTGATCATTTTGAAAAAACTCTTAGAATTGCAGTATTGGAAGGAGGCAGTTCATTGGATCCAACCTTCTGCTTAAGCTAGGAATGCAAATCCAAATTAAAACATCCCACAGATGTTCTCTCTAGCTCCACTTCCATATGTACATGAAAGGAAACCCATAACTACTATGGGTACTTGGTTCCATTATTGAACTGCTCTTATTATTGTAAGGTTGTTCTAACATTTGAGTGAAATCTGTCTGGAATCCATTATTCCAGGTCTTATACTCTGGAATGAGGGAGAGTATGTGGAAAGTTAAGTCCTCAAAACCACAACAATATTATTTAAATATAGTGGTTATTTTAGCCCAAAAGTGTGTATAATAAGATTTTGTTTGGATCTTGATTTAGTATTTTTTAAACTATACAATTCATCCTGAATTTATTTGCAGCTTACTCTGTTTGACTCAGTGGTGAAAATCCAAACACAGTATGAAAATCTGGACTTTCATACTAATCGTCATCATTAATAACTATCAAATGGCTAAAGCTCTTGTTTTCTTACTACTAATTTGATTAAATTTGTAGGCTTATTATAAAGTACAATTCCAAACCAACAGATGGAGACTAGACAATTTTGAATTTCAGTATGTATTTGTTTCTTCTATTTCAGTTGAATTTCTGAATCAATCTCATTCAATTCTGAATTCAGAACTAGCAACGCATTGCTAGTGTTTTCTCCCACTTCTTTCTTCCTAATGTCCCTGCAAAGCTTCTCTTGAGACGTAAACAGATATCAAGCATTGCATATAATGCAGCCTAGGCACATGGTGATGATGATACGATACGATGTGATGCAGCTTGGCAGGAACCAAGAAAACAGATATACAGTACCTCTTTGGTTTCCATTTATGCAAGGACAGCCAGTTTGGTCTAGCAGTTAAGGCTTCAGGCTAGAAAGTGGGAGACCATGAGTTCAAGTCCTGCCTTGGCTATGAAAGCCAGCTGGGTGACTTTCAACCAGTCATTCCCTCTCGGTCCAAAGCACCACATAGGATTGTTGTTGTGGAAAAATAGAAGGAAGGTATGTTGGATATATTATCTCCTTGAGTTATTTGTATAAATACAAGCAGACTAAAAATAAAGTGCTCTAGATTAAAATTAGGAGTTACTAAACAGTAGGATAATATGCTATATAAGCATAGTCTTTGTATTCTCTTTCTCTTACAAGTAGCAGTTAGATCACAGGCTTCTTAAGAAAGGATCACAATTATAAAACAACTCAGAGTTCTTTGGAAGTGTAATTCAGTGAGCGTAAAGTCTCCCAGAAAGATGTGCAGGCTTTGAAGCTGTGCTTGGGCTTGTTCTAGTTCATGAATATGGTGTCATGTCATCCCTAAGAAGAAGAGGAAGAGGAATGTCAGATTAGCAAGAAACCCAACCAAAAAAGGAATATATTGCACCTTTAGCAAAGACTAGAAGAGCAGGTTAGGCCTGCTCAACATTATTGCTTTTTCTCCTAATCATGAGTTGTCTCTTATGTTGGGCATGTTTGGTATCTGACTGCTCAGCCCTTGAGTGTGCCTCATTTCATCCTGTAGAAACATCTCTAAACTGAGCATCATCATTAGTAAGTTCCAAAGGGGTGCTGTTCATTTTCACCTTCTTGCGACAAAGCTTAGAGGAAGCAAGCTTCATGATTCAGTGTCTAAGAAAAGGACATTCACAATATTTTGGCTAGGTAACAAGGGAAAAATAAAGATTTCTTTGAGACTTGCATAGCTTTTAACACACCCTGTGCTCTCTGGAATCAAGTGGTGGCAGCTTCAGCTTAATATGATTATGGCTTTAATTGGATAGAAAATCACTCATTAAGTGATTTGTGAAATAATATAAGGTGTTTATGCATTTGGAACACATGTTGTCATGCAGACTGCAGAAACCCTACATTAAATATCTATGGAGATTCTCAGTCATCCAGGTCATGGTTGTCCCAAAGGTGCTTTTTCAAGAGACAACTGGACTTTCTCATTTTTCTTTGAAGACATTCCGCTTCTCATCCAAGAAGCTTCTTCAGCTCTGACTGGATGGTGTAGCAAAATGCAACCATTGCAAGCAATTCACAACAACAATAGGCAAAGACAAGTTAACTTAGTTTTGTTTTAATTTTTATCTTCATATTTAATCATTTTAATGTATGTACAAGATAGATGATCCCACCCTTACATGAGGTCACATGGGTGAGCTCTTTAACTTGGATCCTTGAGGCATTCGGGCTTTCCAAAACCATACAGAGAAACAATCTATATATTTCATATCCCAAGATTCATGTCCTACAAATCTCAATTCCATAAGTAATTCCCTTCCCTGCCTTTCAACCAGTAGCATAAACAAAGTGAGGTGGGACATAAATAGATTATGAAGATAAAACACACCCATTGGATGTGGAATGCTTACTGTTGGGAGGAATTGGATAAACTGAAGAAGGACAAAGACTAGAACACAGAATTGGAACCAGTGGTGAAATTAAAAAATTTCCCTACTGGTTCTGTGGGTGTGGCTTGTTGGGGGGAGGTCAAGTGACTGGGTGGGCTTGGCCAACTTGACATCACTCATATCGAGGGGCTCACCGGCCCCTCCCCTCCCAACCATTACTTGCCGCAAATGGCGGGGAAATGGGGAGGAAAATATTCCTGCCTAACCATCCTTCCCTCAGTCTGTGCTGAGATTGAGGAATGTATGACAGGCAGGAAAATCCCCTTCTCCATTTTCCTGCCTTTCACAAAAACTGCTCCATTCCAGCTGCTCCCCTATCCCCCTCCCTCCTGGGGACTACCTTAAAGGGATAGACTGCAGCAGCTCTGTTCTGAATGGAGGGAGAAAAATTAGCATTCTCTCAGCTGCATTTAACATTGAATTCTGTGGAGCGGCCTGAAGAGCTGAGCAGCGACCAGCCGGGCATGGGTGGGGCCAAGGAGAGATAATTACTACCGGTTCGGCGAACTGATGCCCATAATCCCTAGCAGTTCGCCCGAACCGGTCCAAACTGGTTGGATTTAACCCCTGATTGGAACCCTCCTTTCTGCGACATTTTGTTACAAGTACCACTTATTTAATATGAATGG